TGAACATTCGGCAGCTTAGGATACGCAACAACTTTTGCTGTCAAAATAAAAACAGATAGAGTATCTAAAATTATGAAGAGATCAACAATTACCGAATGACATCGACACAAGTTGAATTCAACTTATGGTATCCACATCCACACTACAAATTACCAACTTTTGCTGGTGGGGTTATGTTGGCGATCATAATTATTTACTCCTTTTTAAGCTTCTGGCATTGCTTAACATATTCTATCGTGGAGAATACTTTAACCAATACTTCTGGACTTGGAATGGTTGTGGATGTACTACCGAAATATTTTGGACCAACGTCTACTACTTGTCACCCATTGATGCCTAACCTTCTTTGCATCTGTTAACATGTAAAGTAAACAACGATGATCTTGTAAACTGAATATAAAGGCGTACATAGTTTATTTAGTATGGTAAACAAACAGGAAACCCACAGAAGCAAGCTTGTGCGTGGGATTGTACAAATTACAAACATATTAATCATGGTATAGACATTTTTTAAATTTCCAGTCCATTGCTAATATCAGTAAAATAAAACTCACTCAAGTATTGCAGTATAAAATAGTTCACACACTTCAAAAACATTTCAACTAAATTGGTTTACAATACTGGTCATAAAATTGTTAAGGTAATCCATAATCGGTAATAATTTGAAAATGTATGATTAAAACAAGCATATAAATTCCTTAAAATCGCCTACAGTCGGTTAATTTTACATGTTTGAGAAAAACTGGCCTATTTATCTGATACCATACACATAATGTTATTAAAATTTGGTATCGGTGAAAAATAGAGAAAGAGAGAAAAATTGATAAAAAGACAAAGTAAGTATACAGATATCACAGCAACAGTTTCAATACACAGATATTATATTATGTATGTTTTGCTTAGGAGTATTTGAGATCCACAGCTTCAGTTCTTTCTTGAACACAAATTTTTGACTGATCCTCCTAATATGCTCGGGCATGGCATTAAAAGCTTTGGGACATAAGTACCTGTGACTTCTTAGGCCAACTATTTTGTAAATTTTGGCAGTTTTAATTGTATTGTCTTGCATTATGGCAATGCTTAATGTAATCACTGTTACCTTATGATGGCTAGTTGTCTGATAACAAATACTCCACTTCTTTGTGAAGCTCATCAGATGGATACCTACGTTGTTTGCCAAGTATCCACTTCTGCATTACTTCCAATTTATTCAGGTTTATGCTTGCTAGGCCACCCCATGCAAGAATACCATAAGTGCGGTGAGATTGAACCAAAGCATAATACAAAGATTTTAGAATGTCTGTGTTGAATATAGGAAAGTATAATTTGAATTTTGGGGCTAAGCTCCGTATCCTTTTAACCACCTGGCTGACATGTTCTAACAATCTCAGATGGCTGTCTAGTACTACACCTAAGTACTTCACGCTACTTTGAGATGCTATCGTAAAATTCTTGATGTGAAGCCTTTGATATTGTGACATGTGGGGTTCATAAGAAGTAAATGGTAAGCAATATGTTTTGTTCCAATTTACTGAGAGCTTCTATTAAAAAATTCAACAATTTTCGTAAAATCTGTTTCGCCATAGCTTGTTTCCAAATATCTACTTTTTGTGCCTCCTATTGTGACACACTGCTTTCGGCCAGACAAATAACTAGAAATCATCTTGTAGGACATACCTCTGAAACCAAGACGTTCCAACGTGTCTAGCAAATTTTGATGACATAAGGTGTCGAAAGCCTTGGCCAAGTCTTCAAATATATAAAGAGTTGTAGTTGATGTATCATCAGCCGCATTTATTTGTGATAGAAGAAATTGCATCTTGAGTTGGTCTGTCCTTTTGAATATAGCATTTTTTCAAGTATTTTAGCTAAAACTGAGAGTAAAGAATCAGGACTATAGTTATTAACCTCTTTTTTGCTACCGGATTTATGAAGTGACTTAATTACATAAAAACCTTCAAACATTTTGGAAAAATGCCTAGTAAAATACACCGATGCAGTAAGTTAGTGGTCTGATAATATACTGGCAGTATTGTTTCAAAATTTCTGCTCTAATTTGATCTACCCCTGGTGACCTACAAAGTCTTTTTTGTGAGTGGTTTATTTTTGAATGAGGAATTTTGTTAACTAGCCTCGATCCAATATCAGTGAAGTGTGAAATAAAAATCTCCGCATAATGCTTTTGGGTCAGGCAAGTTTTGTGAAACTGAATTGCTTTAATATTTGGATTTGGCAGTTCTTAAAATGTCTGTTAATTGATTTCTATGTCAATGTACCCAGTCATTTCATATCTCCCCTTTCATCCCTTGAAACAAATTTCCAATAATCCAAACACATGGAACTACTGTGCTCACCAATGTTTCCTCTTTCACATTGCTTTGAATCCGAAATCAAGACATGGACTTTTGTTGTATCCGAGTATGAAGACGTATACTGCCGTACTTATGTAGGTAAAAGGCATTAAAGTTCATTTTTAAATTTAGACGTCAATACACTTTTATGATTACAAATACAAAATATATAATTGCTCACGTTTTTTAACAAGAAATAGTTTTCACTTCCAATAGTTCATATTAACTACATTTCCTAGGCATAAAAGCAGTAAATTAATTTAACATAGCAAAATAGTAGTAGTGTTCAAACTATAATTTTTTTAATCTCTGTATGATACAAGTACTGCCTTTTTACCACATTATAACCTATTATGATGTTAATTTATTCAGTTTTTGATATAATGATGCTATTATTTGTGAATAAGTATTCATCCTTATAAATAATTACTTTGCTACGAAAGATTAATTTTGAAAATTATTCCTCCTTTAACTTGACATATAAGAAAATTTTTAGTTTATTTATATAATTATTTTTGATTAATGTATTAAATGTAATCATATAATTATTAAACTGAATTATTAGATGTTGAATAGATTTATTTTGTGCTATTTATGCGAGTTGCATTATGAAAACTAGAATTCCGCATTACTGCGTGTTTCCGTTGGAAAAAATATAAATAGATTGTAAAAACTACCAAAAATGGCAGTAAATTTGTTTTTACAGGATATAAAAGCAGTAAATGACATGTTACTGTTTTTTGATTTACAATTAAAGACGGAATGTCATTTATTTTAGGCCTCAACAACAATTATGATCCGACATTACATTTCAATGAATACGAGTATAAAGTCATGTATGTAACTTTACGATTTTGATTCACCTTTGTACACATTACTGTTATTTACGGTAGCATAATGAAATGAAGAAAAGTCTATGAAATTTAAATACGATTGAACATCTTGGAAGCATGTACGCCAAGCACCAACTTACTTTAAAATGTTAATTTGTACTGACGCTATGACCTCAAGTTGTATGTGCCGTGAATGGTAATGGTGTGTCATGCGTGTATATCCCACAACGTGACGGTTTGGTATGATTTCTGGAAATCAGTGACGATACACTTAATAAAAAATGCCGTATTAATGTTTTATAATCTACAATCGTAATATTTCTTGGAGAACATATATTATTCAGATTGTTAAGTGACACAGCACCAAATTGCGCAAACCTTTATTTTAGAAACTCGATTGACTGTAGGCACTACAAAATTTCACAGAAACTGACATGTCTGTGTTTGCTCTATTTTTCCATGCAGTTTATAAAGAATAAACTACAATATAAACTCATTTACAGAAACCTAACAAATATAGGAAAACATGAAATACATTTTTGAGCTGATTGCTCTGTAGTTGTAGTGAATATATTCTATGACCACAACATTCTAGATATACAGGGTGGCCGAGATAAGGATTCTATGCATGGGAATCTGAATACCCGAGGAGATACAGCTCAGGTTAAATTAGGGAAATGTTGAGTTTTTTGGGGCGTATTTACAAGCCGTTGAGAAACTTGTAAAAATTTCATGGCTTACCGAGGTTTTTGGGAAGAAGTAAAATTTGTCCAAATCATTTTCATTTTTTCATGACTTTATTATAGAAAAACCAAAAAAACTAATGAAGCTTTTCCACTGGCACTTTTTGGCACCACATGATGGTGTTTTCAAATGTATTTAGATAATTTACCTTTGGAACAGGTTAATAGCTGTTGGTTTCAACAAGACGGTGCTCCTGCACATAACTCTAGGCAATTTAGAGAGTATCTTTCTAGGCAACTTCCCGGAAGGTGGATTGGAACCTCCAGTGAAGTGTCCTGGCCAGTGCGTGCCCCGGATTTAAATCCTTTGAACTTTTTTGTTTGGAGCTTTATTAAAAACCAAGTTTATCAGCATACTTTTCAAACTGAGTAGCAGTTACGTTAATGTGTAATGGATGCATTTAGTATGATTTCACCAGAAATGTTACCTGATGTTTTGAAGTCTACTGTTAGGTCAGATTTATGTTCAGAAAATAATGGCATTCTATTGTGAACAGAAAAAAGGCAACACTCTGAAGAACTTATACATGGACAATCTAGATCTTATTTGATCAGAAAGCAGACAACGGAATGTCCGAAAGTCTCTCTCCATGTTCTAATAGATTGAAAATCGTTGCAAGTGAAGGAATTCATTACTTCAAGATGGTGGTAGTAACCTAAAAGGGCAGATGACAAGCTATTTGATGACTATTGATTTATAAGGCTCCAAAAAAGGTTACCGGATCTATTGTAGCGTAGCACATCTATGTTCAGTTATAATAATGAGTAATAAAGGTAATTCAATCAGCTAAATAATAATATACAGAAAATATGTATGAAAAACAGTATTATGGTTTAACATGCATTTTATGACATGAATGTGCATGCACAACAGTACATAGTGAAAACCCATGAAAACAGAAGTGTAAATCTAACTTTTATTGAGCGGGAATTATCTTTTACATATACGTACACAAATTAATAAATATTATACATGGTACTCAATAACTGAAGATACCAGAAAATATTACTCGTACAAAATACAATTTTTTGTCAATAGGTCACTTAAAGAAATTGCAATTTTATTTTCAGGGATTAAACAGAAAATTTATATATTTTGTTATGCAGCTTGCTACAGTTTCTTATTATTATCCTAATAGCCCAAGGAGGGTATTTCTGATAAAACATTATTTCATTTCAAACAACGTCGCTAACCAACGTATTTTGTATGAATCGGATATCCAAAGTTTAGTCAATTCGTCGATTATTATCAAGGCGGATCTTTGTCAGTTTGTCAATGAGCCTAGAAACCAAACAAAGCCAAAGAAAAAATCTAAAATAGGAATCGGGAAAAGCGAAGAAAAACACGTAAGAGTGTTAGAAACACCTAAGTAACCGACTGGCTTTATCTTCCAGTATGTTTCAAATGTTTGTAATTTTCATCAGGCTGGCAAGAGCGTCTTGGCTAAAAAGCACTCAACTAAACGTGTGAAAGTATAGCAGATCTGGTAATCATTTTGTAAACACAGATTTCGTTTTCTAAAATGAATTTCCACATTGTACACGATGGATTAAATTGTCGAAACTATCAAAGACTATTCAGGCGTTATTCCAATTGAGTTCATTTGTTCGTTGTAATGAGAAAAAAAACACTTATTTCTATTATCCGTTTCTTATCGTTGAGAAATGGTAACAATAGAAAGGTGTATATATTCAGTTCACATTGCACGTTAGCGCTCAATGTCAACCGCAAGGTGCTCGTCAAATAGCTAGCAAGGATCTGTACTTGGATAGAGCTGCGTACAAGGAAAAGTAAATAATTTTATAAACGTTCGAAATAATACAGGTAAAACCATTTTTATGCGGAAATAGTGATGTCCACATAAAAAGAACAATTAATGCAATGTTTATTCATGTTTTAAATGATTATTCACATTCAGCACTAAGAGACAGACCAAAAGACAACTTATAGCGTCTACTAGCAAAATAATTGCAAACTGTTTTGTAATATGTGTGTATCAAGAAAGTTTGTGGTACACGATAAAAAATTATATTATGATAAGTAGGGCAGCTGCATCAATCAAATAAATTACCGGATATTTGAAAATCATTTGGCAGGGGTTTTGTTCCCGCACGATTTCACTTTTCTTGATATTGTCCTAAGCCAATACATTGCAATAATCCCTTGAGAGCTGACATGTACCAGTATATGCTAGTGGAAAATGTTATTAGTTTGTTAACAGAAATATATGGAACATCATAGCATGCTTTATTATTTTTATTACATTTTATTATATTATTCTACCTCCCAGGATACAGCTGTATGTGCGTTTTTTTAGGATAAATAATCGGTCTGGACGTCTAGAGATGATGCACGTATCCACGATTCAGTTTTAGAAAGGTTCTCTTCATCTGGCACAACAATATGTATTATTTCAACGAAATAAAAAATGGAATGCATAGGCTACTACAGGGGGCGTTTTTCCATTCTTAGTTAGGATGCTACTCTGACAATACTAACACGCATGAGCTGTGCGAGATAGTACATATAGGCAGTATACTGCGAAATCAGTCAACATATGTATCCGTTTAAATATGATGGCTCAAGGTTCCGAGGCTTACCTGGCGTATACCAGATTAATGTAATTGTTGATGACAATAATATACATTTAATTGTACGCCTGCTTATATACTGCATTACTGGATCTTATAGAAGAAGCTTCATGAATTTTAATGAGCTTGTATCATTATACATACAACATATTAACAGGTAATCGGTATTGACATAGTCTATGCATTGAGTTTTCCTGATTTGATTTTCTATACTGAGTATGTCATCGAGTAGTACACGTGTAACAAATGGTAACCAGAAAACTGACCTGCAGGGCTATTACGTAACAAATCTATAAAATGTAAAAAAAAAACAGACAAACAGAAAGAAAAATTAATGTGAAATGTAATAACTTTTTTACGCTTCGTCAACCTGTATGTATCATGTTTCCTCGCCTGTAAATTTTAATATATGTACTTCACCAACCAGGGATTTTCTTTTCTGATCGCTCTTTTTCTTTAATCCAGCAAATTTGAATATGTCATTTCCAGGTTGAATAAGAAAAGACGGATGCGCAACTAATTTTTAGCTTTGCAAACATTTCAAGTGTATTTGGGGAAAGAAACCATTGGAATTATCATAAACACAGATTATTAACACACAATTGTGTAAATCAAATTTAATTCGAAAACGGTACCGAAACAAATTCTTTGGTGATTGCAAACAAACTAAATGAATATTTTGTGAAAAGTATTGTTGATATTGTGGGTACTGTCAATGCTGCACCTGACTATATGAAAATCAGTTTCCAGTGGGAAGTATTGCATACACTTTCAAAATTTCATAGCGTATCATTGAATTATCTGAGAAAAAAAAATAAACAGTTTAAAATCATCAACAACTGTTCCGAAATCACTACTAAAAAGTGTTTCTAAATGTTTGGATATCCTGTATTAAATTGGATCAATTGTTCACTGAGAAGCAGTTTTTTCATGAAAATTTGAAATGCTCTACCATAACAACAGTTCCCAAAATAAAAAATTCTATAAGATGCAGCGATATGACACCAGTAAATGTGTTACCGGACATTGAAAAATTATTGGAGTCCATAGTGCATGAGAAAAATTATTGGAGTCCATAGTGCATGACCAATTAATGCAGTTTATAGAAGAAAACAAAATGTTAGGTGAGGCGCAAGCAGGTTTTCGCAAAAAATATACCACAGAAACGGCTTTCCAGTTGGTAACTGAGAATTGGAGAAGAGACTCAGAAGAAGTCATAGCAGTATTTTTGGATTTGAAGAGGGCATTTGAAACCATTGATAGAAATATTCTGTAAGGTAAATTGAAGGCAGGAAGCGTTTTAGATTGGTTTCGAAATTATTTGTCTAAAAAGATGCAAGTTACAAAAGTTAATGACACTATTTCATCAAAAATTGAAAATACGTTGGGTATTCCACAGGGCAGTATCCTTGGACGACTTCTTTTTATTTTATACATAAATGATTTACCTGCCATATTCAAGATATGCAAAATTCAGATTTTCGCCGATGACACTATGATTTATATAAGTACTAAAAATATTCAGACTGGCATCTCTTATATAAATGAAGACTTGAAACTTGTCTCAAAATGGTTAGCATCTAACAGACTCAAATTAAATACAAGTAAAACGAAAGCTATGTTAATCGAAAAAAAAAACATTGTACAAATGTTCAACTGAATATTGATGGTGAAGATATTGAATTCATAGAAAATATTAAATACCTGGGGGTTTTTGTTGACTCGATTAATTTTTGATATTCATTATGAAAAAGTTATAAATAAGATCAGTTGTAAAGTGGGATATTTATCAAGAGTTTCTGGATGTCTGAGTTCATATAGCAGAAAAATTATCTATAATACCATCATTCTTCCAAATTTCTTGCACTGTTCGACTATTCTATATTTAGAAAATAATTCCATTTTTGAAAGACTGCAAATTTTACAAAACAAGTGCATGAGAATAATACTGAATAAAGATAAATATACTCCAATTAGACAAATTAAAGCAAATTAAAATGGCTCAATGTAACAATTTTTATCAAATATCTTGTAATGATATTCATTTATAAAGTAAAAAATAATATATTTCCATCAAGTCTAACTAATTTAACATCATCAAATGCCGATCATCGTTTACATAATACCAGAAATAAAGATGACTTCCATTTAATGACCAAAAAGTATAACATATGCTACAAATCTGTATTCCATCAAGGGTTGATTGAATATAATAAATTATACACAGAGATAAAAGACCAGAAAGCTTTGACAAAATTTAAAGTAAAATTGAGGAATCACTTGTTAAATCTACAATTACAGCTTGCCCAGCGTTTACATCATACATCATATGGCTTGAATTTACTAATTCTAAGTTGTTTACAATTATTCTGTTTATGCAGCCAAATGTGCTAAATAAATCTTTCTACTACTACTACTACCAGTACTACTAAATCCTCACTATGCACCTATGCACTGCCGCATCCTTCCAGCTACAGTTTACAACTTACAGCTTGTACGTCCAATAATGCCATCTCTGAAGCCGATGTTACATCACATCACAGCCAAATATTGATACCTGAAGCATCATGACGTTTAGGCAACACATACAGCTACGGAACGAGTTCATAACAAGTGTGCAACAGCTAGTGCTAAGTTGACATCTTGTAGAAAAAAACGACATAATGGCACTTTTCATGATACGTAATACAAAAGCATTAGGAGGAGAGCCGAGTTGACACTGATGTTGACTATTATAGACGCTCTCATGACAAAACATAAGGATTAAGCCCTTCCATGATGCCCTTGACGTACATAATGGTGGTAAGACCCATGATAACCTGTGCATCTCTGGTGTGGGGGCAAGCATGAGACAACGCTCTGCCATTGCAGAATTAAGCAAGGAACTAAGACTTGCTTGTCTGTTGATAACATGCGCAATGAAGAGCGCTTCAACTGCAGCCCTTGAGACCTGGACCCTCCAATACAATTTGTAATAATGGGGGAGGCGATAATTTGCTACTCTAGGCTACAGTTACAGCCAAAGGGAAGATATGAGGACCTTGGACATAAACAAATAAGGAAACATCTGGGAAGCAACACAATAACGCGAGGAAAGACCACATAGTTCCCAGATTTGTATTCAAAAAGAACATCGAGACCAAAATAGTATACAGGGTAATAAGTACCACGACAAACTTAAAGAGAAGATAGACTTTGGACTGACCTCCCAAATAAAAAAAACTTACCTTTATAAAAGCGTCACCGTTTTTGAGATATTGAATTTTTGCTTAAATTTAAAAAAAAACGTACCTTTTCATCTGTGGTCTTTAGCTGCATGTACAAATAAGGTTATACTTTGTTCATTTTTTCTATAAAATACTTCTAGACTATTTTGGGATTTATAACCTTCTGATATTTTTTCCTCAACTTTGACCATGTGTGGTGAAACAAAAATGCACTGTGGGCTATAACTGAATTATATTGAATAAAAAGATTGCTCATTGAATACAAATTTCAGAAAGGCACCTCACCTGCTATTTGGAATAGAAAAAAGTGATAGCTGCTTTTGTAAGTGACTGACACACTCTAAATGTAATTATGGGATTTAAATTCAAGTTGCACTGGTTACCGATCAGTGACATGCTAAATAGTACAAAGCTACATTATTATTACCTGCTCCTGATATGATTGCATGAAAATTGAGGAAAC